CCTAAGGGTGCCATTCCGTGGGAAATTTTAGGAAGCACTATTATACTATATGGCCTGACTTAGAAATCTGTTTTGTTTTGTTTTTTACAACCATTGAAGTAAAAATGTATGTACAATTCAATACACATAATGTACAGTTCCATGAGTTCTGTCCAGTATATACACTCATATAATCATCAACTCCAATCAAAATATGAGTGATTTCTATCACCCTAAACAATTCCCTTATAACCAGACATGGTGGGACACACCTGTAATTCCAGCGACGCAGAAGTCTTGAGGCAGGAGGATTGCAAGTTCAAGGCCAGCCTCAGCAACTTATCTAGGCCCTAAGCAAGTTAGTGAGACTCTGTCTCAAAAAATAAAAAGGACTGGGGATGTGGCTCAGTGATAAATCACCTCTGGATTCAAACCCAACTACAAAAAAAAAAAAAAAAAATTCTAAAGAATTCCTTTGGGAGCATAGGATGTAGTTCAGAGGGAAGGATCTTGCCTAGCTGTACTGAGTTCAATCCCTACCACTGCAAAAAAATAAAAGAAAATTCCCATTATATGTCAGTCTTTCCCCATACCCTGACACAGGCAGCCAGTAACTGGATTTCTATTGATTGGTTTTGTCTGTTCCCACCCCACCCCACTCCAGTAATCAGGATTGAACCTAGAGACACTCTACCACGGAGCTATATCCCCAGCCTTCTCTATTTTTTACTTTTTTCTACATCTCCCAGCCTATCTATCTATCTATTTATTTATTTACTTTAGTACTGGGAATTGAATCTAGGGGTACTTTAACACTGAGATATATCCCCAGCCCTTTTAATGTTTTAGTTTGAGACAGAGTCCCATTAAGTTGCTTAGGGCCTGGCTTAATTTCTGAGGCTGACCTCAAACTTGTAATCCTCCTGCCTCAGTCTTCTTAGTCACTGGGGTAACAGACAGTGCCACCACACCTGGCTTCCAGCCCTTTTTATTTAGAACTACATCCCTAGTTCTTTTTAATTTTTATGTTGAGACAGGGTGTTGCTAAATTGCCCAGGCTGGTTGGATGTAGTGGCACACACTGGTAATCCTAGTGGCTTAGGAAGCTAAGGCAGGAGGATCACAGGTTTGGGACCAGCCTCAACAACTTAGTGAAGCTCTAAGCAATTTAGCAAGACACTGTCTCACAATTAAAAAAAAAAAAAATGGGCTGGAGATGTGGCTTAGTGGTCAAGCACCCCTGGATTAAATACCTGGTACCAAAAAAAAAATTAAATTTAAATTTAAAAATTTTAAAATTGCCCAGGCTGTCCTCAAACTTGCAATACTCTTGCCTCAGCCACAGAGTCCCTGTGATTACAATGTTGCACCATCATACCTGGCTGGTTCTGCCTGTTTTAAGACTTGGTATAAAGGAAATTATCTGGTATTACTCTTTTGTGTCTTGCTTACTTCAGTATAATGATTTTGAAATTCATCCCTGTGGTATGAATTAACAGTTTATATGGTTTATAGCTTCATTGAAATATAACACACATACCATAAAATTGGCATGCACAATTTTAACATACACAATTCAGGGCTGGGAATGTAGTTCAGTGATAGGGAACTTGCCTAGAGTGTGCAAGTCTCTGAGTTTGATCCCCAGCACCTTTGTCCTCTTTAGAGTTTACTCCCCATTTGTCCTTCTCCCCAGCCCTGTCAACCATTCTTGTCATTCCTGTTTATATGGATTTGCTTAATCTGAACATTTCAAATTAATGGAATCTTACACGTGGCTTTTTGTATCTGGTTCCTTTCACTTAGCCTAATGTTTCCAAGGTTCATCCATGTTACTAACAGTATGTATCAGTACTTATTTTCTTTTCATGGTGAGATAACATTACATTGTACAGAGATTAATTCATGAATGTTTACAATATGTACTTCTAAGAAGAGACTTGTATCCAAATGATGGACATTTGGCTTGTTTCCACTTTTTGGTTATTATGAGTAATGCTGTTGTGAATATGTGTGCACGAATTTTTCTGAGGGATTATTTTCATTTCTCTTTGGTTATCTACCTAGGAGTCTAATTATTGGTCATATGGTAACTCTACATTTAACAATTTAAACTATTTTCTTCCCCTATACCCAGTACTGGGAATGCCTCGCTTAACTATTTTCTAAAGTGGGCTACACCATTTACACTTTATTCATTTTATTGCTAAGTAATATTCTATTATTAAAATAGACCATAGGGAGCCAGGCAGAGTGGCGAACACCTGTAATCCCAGTGGTTTAGGAGACTGAGGTAGGAGGATCACGAGTTCAAAGGCAGCCTTAGCAAAAGCGAGGTGCTAAGCAACTCAGTGAGACCTTGTCTCTAAATAAAATACAAAATAGGGCTGGAGATGTGGCTCAGTGGCTCAATGGCTGAGTGCATCTGAATTCAATCCCAGAACCTTAAAAAAAAAAAAAAAAAGGAATTGTTACTGACCTTTGGTCTATTTTTGTTTGTTTGTTTGTTTAAATAGACCACAGGGCTAGGGGTGTAGCTCAGAAGTAGTGTTTGCTTAGCATGTGTGGGCTCAACCCCAAGCCCTGAGATAGAGAAAGAGAAAGAATAAACCATTTAAAAACAAACAAACAAAACAACAACAACAACAAAAAAAAACAAAAAAACTTAAGCTCCTCAAAAGGTACAATTTTTAAGAAAATGAGCAGAGCACTGTGGAGCATGTCTGTACTCCTAGTAACAGGGGAGACTAAGGCAGGAAGATGGCAAATTCGGGGTCAATCTGGGCAATTTGTGAGACCTTGTCTCAAAAAAAAAAAAAAATTAGAAAGGTTGGGGATGCACCTCAATCATAAAGTGCCCCAGATTCATCCCTAGAACCCTGGGACTGAAAAAAAATTTTTTTAAAAAGTCATCACATCCTGGGACAAAATGTTTACAATATGTACTTCTGTGAAGAGACTTGTATCCAAAATATATGGAAAACTCTCATAATCCAGCAAGACAACATGATTTTTAAAAATCAGCAAAAAACTTGGGCTGGGGTTGTGGCTCAAGTGGTAGCGCGCTCGCTCGCCTGACATGCGTGCGGCCCGGGTTTGATCCTCAGCACCACATACAAACAAAGAAGTTGTGTCTGCCGAAAACTAAAAAATAAATATTAAAAAATTCTCTCTCTCTCTCTCTCTCTCTCTCTCTCTCTCTCTCTTAAACTTGAATAGGCAGTTTACCCAATATATATAAATGGTAGTAAGAACAAGAAACATGGTCAACATCATAATATTAAGAAACATACAAGCTGGACCCAGTGGCTGGTGGACACATGTAATCCCAGCAGTTTAGGAGGCTGAAACAGGGAGGATTGCAAGTTCAAGGCCAGCCTCAGCAATTTATGGAGGCCCTAAGCAACTTATAGAGACCTATATTGAAAGGCCTGGAGATGTAGTCCAGTAGTTAAGCCTTTCTGGGTTCAATCCTCCATACCAAAAAAAAAAAAGAAGAAAAGAAAAAAAAAAAAGAGATAAAATGAAGTTGCAATGATGCACCTATTTTAGAATGACTAATTTAAGATTGACAATATTATATTAAATGTTGGCTATGCTGAAGAATGACTAGAATTACCACACACTGGTATTGAAAATGTAATTTGAAATATTTTGTTTTTTGCTTTTTGTTTTGGTGTTGGGGATTGAACCCAGGGGTGCTTAACCACTGAACCACATCCCCACATCCCCAGCCCTTTTTTTTTTTTTTTTTGGAGACAAGGTTCTGCTAACTTGCTTGGGGGTCCTGGCTAAATTGTGAAGCTGGCCTCGGATTTGCCATTCTCCTGCCTCAGCCTCCAGAATAAAGCCCGGTTGGAATAGTCATTTTAGAAGGAGGCTTGACAATTTTGTTTTTTCCTTTCAGTGCTGGAGATTAAACCCAAGGCCTGATGCATGCTAAGCAAGGCAGTTTCTTTTAAATTAAACATGCTTTTACAATCCAGCAACTCCACCCTAAGAGAAATTATAACACATGTGCACATAAAGACACACAAAGATGTTCATAGAGGCTTTATTCGAATGGACAAAAACTAGAAACAACACAAATATCTATCGAAATAACAAATTTTCTTTAAAAAAAAAAAAGAGAGAGAGAGAGAGAGAGAAATAGCTTTACTCTTAGGATCTGAAAAAATATCCTGTTTTTCCCTAGTTTGTAAATTCCAGCATAACAGGTTCTGAGGCTCTTGTTTACTATTGTACCCTCAGTGTCTGGCACAGACCTTGCACGCAATAAATGTTTTGTGAATGAATGAAAGAATGCAAACTTTCACACAGTAATGATTCTGCAGCCACCACACTTCGGGTTTTTTTTTTTTATTCCCGCATTCCCTCCACCAGGCCCGAGGTGGTTTCGCAGGCTGCTCAGCAAGGGGGCATAGGAGGTTCCCGAGGTGGAGGCGCGTTGCGCCAGGATTCCAGGCAGAGCTCGCGGCTGGCCTGGCCGGGGGCCGAAGCCGGAGCGGAGGAATGTGCGCAGCGTTGAGTGCTCTCTGGGTGGCCTTAGAACAAGGTGTGACAGACGGCGCGGGACGGGTGGACAAACCGGCCGACAGCGCCTGCAGGGCGCACGAAACGGGTGGCAGATGGCGCCCCCGGGTAATGGGCGGCCCTGGGGCCACTGCGGCGCTAGGGACAGCGGGGCGGGCAGAGGACGGCGGGGGCGGGACTGAATAGACGAGAATCCCGCGGAGGTGAGGCTGGGGGGCCGTCCCGCCCCCAAGGGCAGGCCCTGAGCCCCGGCCCCGCCCCGGCCTCTGGGGTGTGGGCTCTGGCTCCGGCTCATCTGTGCTCCCTGTGCTAGCGAACCCGCGAGGGCGCCGGCTCCCGCAGCCTGGGTGAGGGGGCCGGGGAGGGGGCGCCGCAGAGGTCCCGGCCCCGGAAATCGGGCGGGGACGGGAATGGGCTGGAGTTGCTGGGCTTTCTGACTCAGCCACACGCCCAGATTTAGGCTTTTCTCTCCCGGGCGGGACCGCGTAACTTCCTCCTTCCCGCCTGGACCCTCTCTCCCTTCTGGTCTGGCCTGGCTTGAGCCCCGCGGGACCTCTTAACCACCCTGGACTCCTTCCCCAGGTTTCTGCGATACCCCGGTTCCTGGCCATCCGGGCCTGTCTGGGTGTTCCCCCGGGACCTGAATAAGGGACGAGGGGCGGGGCTGAAGGGTTCTGGATGAAGGACCTGAGCAGGAAGGGATGGAGGTTACTCGAGGGTTGGTGGGGCGAGTCAGATCAATGGGTCTGTAATCAGAGAAAGGTTGGGAGTCAGCCAGAGGTAGATGAGTGGAAAAGATGAGGACCATGGAGCTTAGGATGGGGGCCAGATTCTGAAGGTCACATCACTTTGCTGAGGCCTCCTCATATTCCTAGGATGACAGCGACCCTGGAGAGCCCCTTCCCTTCTGGGGACGACCTGGACTCCAGCCAGTTACATATGGAGCCGGATGAGGTGGACACTCTGAGGGAGGGAGAGGACCCAGGTACACAGGGAGTATGAGCCTGAGGGAGGGGAGGTCTGGGTGCTGGGGCCTCTTGGATTCTATACCCTTGGCCTTTTTTTTTCTTCCCAGCTGACCGAATGCATCCCTTTCTGGCTATCTACGACCTTCAGCCTCTGAAAGTACACCCTTTGGTGTTCGCCCCTGGGGTCCCTGTCATAGCCCAGGTGGTGGGCACTGAAAGATACACCAGTGGATCCAAGGTGGGTGGGCTGGCACCTGGGAGGGGCTTAGAGGGAATCCTGGCCAGACTGGGGGACTGGGACCCAATCAGGGAACATGGATTCAGTTTCTCACACCCCCAGATAGGAACCTGCACTCTGTATTCTGTCCGCTTGACTCATGGTGACTTTACATGGACAACCAAGAAGAAGTTCCGTCATTTCCAAGAGTTGCATCGGGACCTCCTGAGACACAAAGTCTTGATGAGTCTTCTACCTCTGGCTCGGTGAGGGGGACCACACTGCTTCCTGTGAAGGGCAAGTGCCCCTTTCCTGTGACAGATATCACTTTTCTGCCTGTTTCACCCCCAGTTATAACCTTTCTTCTTCCCCCCAACTCTAGCTGGTGGGCCCCCTCCCCTGACCTGGTTACCAGAAAACTTTCTCTGCTCAGCTCTCCCTCTCCATGGTTCTATGCCAATATCTCAGCTGGGCTGAATGCCCAAAATACCCTTGGCAGCCTTTCCCTTCTCTTGTCTCCATTCCCAGAGTAGGGAGCCTTCCTTCTGCCAGCATCTAGGCCTTCTCCCCTCCTCCAAGACCCCTCCTTCACTGTCTAGGCACCAAGCCTTGCAACTCTTACCTGAGCCTCACCCCACCCCTTCCACAGCTTTGCTGTTGCCCATTCTCCAGGCCGAGAGGCAGCCAACAGAGAGATGCCCTCTCTACCCCGAGCAGGTCCTGAGGGCTCCACCAGACATGCAGCCAGCAAACAGGTGCGAGCAGACACGAGGTCCTCTGGAAAGGTATGCAGTGTGCAAAGGTCTCTGGTCTCATCTGTCTCTCTCTCTGTCATCCTTACTTTAGAAGTACCTGGAGAATTACCTCAATCATCTCCTGACCATGTCTTTCTATCGCAACTACCATGCTATGGTAAGGTCCAAAGACTGGATGCCTGCGTCCTTTGAGGTGGAGCAGGATAATTAGACCCCCAGGAGGCAGGGGGTGTTCTAACTCAGAATCACTTATTATAGTTTGAGGGGTTGAAAGTCAGGCCTTCCCTCCAAGCTTTTGTTTTCCTCTGCAGACAGAGTTCCTGGAAGTCAGCCAGCTCTCTTTTATCCCAGACCTGGGCTCCAAAGGACTGTGAGTGTATGGACCCCTCACCTAGCCATCTGCACACATCCCTATCCCTGCCTGAGAACAAGGCAGGCAATGCAGGGTAGGCTAGAGTCTGGAGTCCCCACCCAGCATCTATCTCTCTTTTCCTGATGTTCCTGCAGGGAAGGGGTAATCCGGAAGCGCTCCGGTGGTCACCATGTTCCTGGCTTCACCTGTTGTGGCCGAGACCAAGTTTGCTACCGCTGGTCCAAGAGGTGAGGGCTCAGGCTAAGCAGCCAGACAGTGGATACAGGTGAGAAGGGAGATTGGGAGGGCAGGGAAGAAAGCACAGAGCCCTTCCTGCTCCAGGTGGCTGGTGGTGAAAGACTCCTTCCTGTTGTACATGCGCCTGGAGACTGGTGCCATCTCATTTGTTCAGCTCTTTGACCCTGGCTTCGAGGTGCAGGTGGGGAAAAGGAGAACAGAGGCACGGTATGGGGTGCGGATCGATACCTCCCACAGGTAAGAGCTCCCTGGTGTGAGAGTCAACTGGTGAGTGGAGAATAGCCCATGGCCCTGAATTGAGTTTAGCAGAAAACATCACAGGAGAGGAAGGCTTTTCTACCCCCACCCTCAGGATCCACTACAGTTTTAAAGCAGGGAACAAGTTCAGCCAGATGCTTGGTATGCTCTTAAAGTCAGGACCAAAGGACATGGGGATTAGTACAAGCCTGGAGGAAGGGCTCCCAATGTAAAAGACGAGGAATGGCATTCATTCATTTATTCATTCAACAAATCTAATTGCCTGATACAGTGCTAGTTGCTGAGGACATAACTGTGAGTAAGGTAGGTGTATGCCCTGTGTCTATGGAGTTATGATTAGGGGCAAGGAAGGAAGTGGGGATAAGTAATAACCAGTTCCGGGCACAGAGGTGGAGGCCTGTACTCCCAGCAACTCAGGAAGCTGAAGCAAGAGGATCCCAAATTTGAGACCAGCCTCAGCAACTTAGTGAGGCCCTGTCTCAAAATAAAATATAAAAAAGGTCTGGGGATATGGCTCAGTGGTAAAGTGCCTCTGGGTTCAGTCCCAGTCCCCCCACCTCCTACACCCCCCCAAAAAAAAGAAAGGAAAAATAAAGAAAAGTAACAGCCAAAGCTGGGAAGTCTCTGGGCGAGACCATAGGTGGTTCATCTCATTGTTTCTGTCCAGGTCCTTGATTCTCAAGTGCAGCAGCTACCGGCAGGCACGGTGGTGGGGCCAGGAGATCACTGAGCTGGCACAGGGCCCAGGCAAAGACTTCCTACAGCTGCACCGGCATGACAGCTATGCCCCACCCAGGCCTGGGACCCTAGCCCGGTGGTGAGACACTGAAATCCCTCTGAGCTTGTGTGTGGCTTTCTTGACCCCCTTGGTCTTCTCTGAGTTCTTGACCCTCTCTTTTATCTGCTCTGACACCTTCTGATTCCAATGCCCACTTTGATTCCTCCAATCTCCCAGATTGCTTTAACCACACTGATTGATGCTGCTGACCTCCCCTCCTTCCTAACTGCTGACCTCTTAGGAACTCTTTAATCTCTCTGATTTTGTTTGTTTTCTTTCTATCTTTTATTACTTTCTTTCTTTCTTTTTCTTTTCATACTAGAGATTGAACCTAGGGGTGCTTTACCACTGAGCTATATCCCCAGTCCAATTTATTTTTTATTTTGAGACAAATCTTGCTAAGTTGCTTAGGGCCTCACTAAGTTGCTGAGGCTGGCCTCAAACTTGAGATCCTCCTGCCTCAGCTTTCTGAGTTGCTGGGATTACAGGCCTGAGCACCCACACCCAGCTGAACCCTCTCTGTTTGTGATCTCCTCAAATCTCTCTGATTTATTCCTTCATTTATTAAGCATTTTCTAAGTACTACTATATGCCCATCCAGTGGTGGCAATGATACAGGCTTCTTTGGTTTAGGGAAGTAGGTGATCTAATAATAAAACAATGTGAACTTGCTGTAAGCATGATAGATAGTGTAAGGAGCCCAGAGGGGGAGCATCTGCCACGGCAATGGAATGTCAGAACCAACTTCCAGAAGGGATAATCCTGAGGTTTGTTTTAGCAAGATAAAGAAAATGGAGAAGGGCAGTCAAGGCAAAGAATGTAGAAATAGCTTGACATGTTTGGGAACCGTGAAGACTGATTATTACTGCAGAGAGGAACAGTCAGAGAAGAGCCTAGGAGTCAGTAGCACTTGATCTTGCAGGGTCAGTGTGCTAAGCCAAGAGGTCAGACTTTACCACAGGCAGAGGGGAGTGGTGGAATGAATTTTTTCTTGGAGGTAGTGTTGAGATTAAAAAAAAAAAAATACAAGAACTAACAATAGCTACCACTACATAGCATTTCCTTTGTTCCACAAACTAATTGTTTTATATGCATTAACCTTTGGATCCTCACAACTCTGTGAAGTAGGTGCAGCTGTCTCTCTTTTGTAGATGAGAAAACTGGGGCAAGGAGATGTTAGGTAATTTACCCAAGGTCACACTCATTGTGAACACTTGAACTGGGACTCAAATGTGGGAAGACGGGGTCAAGACTGCTCTTTACCACCATCCTAGACTGTTAGTTATTAAACGTCAAGGGGTAGGGCTGAGATGTAGCTCAGTGGTAGAGTGTTTGCCTAGCATGCATGAGGCACTGGGTTTGATCCTCAGGGCCACATAAAAATAAATAAATAAAGCAAAGGTATTGTGTCCATCTACAACTTAAAAAAAAAAAAAAAAGTCAAGGGCTAGCCCAGAGCAGTAACACATGCCTTCTGAATTCCAGCCACTTGGGAGGCTAAGGCAGGAGGATCTTGAGTTAAAAGCCAGCTTTGGCAATTTTGCAAGGCGCTAAGCAATTCATTAAGACCCTGTTTCTAAATAAAATACAAAAAGGGCTGGGGATGTGGCTCAGTGATTAAGTACCCCTAAGTTTGATCCCTGGTACTAAAAAAAAAAAAAAAAAAGTCAAGGGCTAGGGATGTAGCTCAGTGGTAGAATACCTTCCTAGTACTTTTTTTTCCCCCCCAAGATCCTGTGTTTGATCCCCAACACTACAAACAAACAAACAAAAAGTCAAAATTCAGTAACACAATAAGTAAAAGACAGATTAAAAATTAACTCATTGGAGCTGGGGTCGTGGCTCAGAAGTAGAGCTCTCACCTAGCACACGTGAGGCACTGGGTTCTATCCTCAGCACCACATAAAAATGAAATAAAAATATTGTGTCCACCTACAACTAAAAAATAAATATTAAAAAAAAAACTCACTCATTACATAACACTCTATCTATTCCTCCTTACTCCTTCCTTATACCTGTCCCAGCAATCCCATTTCTCTTCCCAGAAATAACCCTGACAGTAGTGGATATTTATCCTCTTAGATCCTTTCCTGCATATTTTTATAAGTGCATGCACATGTTATTTTTTAACATAAATGATATATGCATCTTCTTCTTGCAACTCCCCTCCACTTACTACATGTATTAGAGATTAAACATTTGGGTTCTTTCCTATTTTCACTCTCATAGACAATATTTCCATAAACACAGTCTTTGCCTAAGCATTTTAGAATATGTATTCCTAGAAAGGGAAGTGTAACTCTGTGGTAAAACATGCAAAACCCTGGGTTAGGATCCCAGCATCACCACAAACAAACAAAAAGGAAAAAAAACGTATATTACGAGAACTAAAATTACTATGTATATTTAATGGTATTGAAGAGTGTATGCATATGGGGTTGGGATGTAGCTCAGTGGTAGAATGCTTGCCTAGAATGCATGAGGCCTTGGATTTGATACCTAGTACTACCCCCAAAAAAAGTTATTTCATTTTAATTTCAGTTTCTTGTTTGCATATCTTTTCCTATTAACTATTTTTTAAACATTTTTTTAGTTATAGATGGACACAATATCTTTACTTTTATTTATTTATTTTTATGTGGTGCTGAGGATCGAACCCAGTGCCTCATGCATGCCAGGCAAGCATCTGCCATTGAGCTACAGCTCCAGACCTTTAAATTTAATTTTTTCTGTTCTTTGCATTCTTCAGTGTCTTTTTCTTAATCAATTTGCTGGAGTTCTTTATGTGTAATATATTAATCCTCCTAGTCTTTAGTCCGTTTCTTTAGTTTATTGTGTCTTTTATCATTTTTTTTAATGTAGCTCATATTGGCAGATCATACTGGTAAACCCCACTTTGATACCCTCTGACTTTTCAGATAATTCCTGATCTTTGACTTTGCTTTCACCTCTGACTTATGACTGTCCTCCCATCTTCACTCTCCAGAACTTTCTGGCTTCTACCTCCCCTGACCTCCTTGGCTTGGCCTCCCCCCAGGTTCGTGAATGGGGCAGGTTACTTTGCTGCTGTAGCAGATGCCATCCTTCGAGCTCGAGAAGAGATTTTCATCACAGACTGGTGGTGAGTGGGGAAAGACCTATGAGAGAAAGGGTAGGGTAGACCCGTAGCAGATCCGCATACAGGTGAAGCAAAGAGTGGCTGCCTGGCTGGAGCTCAGCTTGCCTCTTACCTACTGCCCTGAATCCTAGGTTGAGTCCTGAGATTTACCTGAAGCGTCCAGCCCATTCAGACGACTGGAGACTGGACATTATGCTCAAGAGGAAGGCGGTGAGGAAAGTGATCAGGCTAGAAAGGAGGAATGGTGGGATTGCATGTGGGTGAAGGTTGATTGGAAGGACAGCAGCAAGGGATAAGATAGGGAATCTGAGACTTCAGGGGAGGGAAATATGCTTGTCCTGGCTCAGTGTCAGTCAGACAGCACCTCTTCTCAGTACTGGCAGACTTCGCTCCTGGTACCCATAGCATGTTATTGTTACCTGGGGTGTACGTGTATATCTCGTACTGGACTGATAAACAGCATTAGTTCTAGTTCAAAGCACAGCACCTGTCATATAAGGGGGCATTTGTGGATGTTGATAGCTGGGAGGAAGGCTACATGGATGATGGACGGTGACTGGGTAAGTGGATGGATAGATAATGGAAAAGGAGATGAATGGAAGAATATGAGTTGGAAACATGGAGGCATACAGAGTGGGTGGGAAGAGGAATGAATGAGAGATGGTAGATAAGATGATGAGTAGGCTGGGGATATAGCTCAGCTGGTTAAGTGCTTGCCTCATATGCAGAAGGCCCTGGGTCCAATCCCCAGCACCACAGGGAGGAAAAAAAAGATGATGAGTAAATGGTTGGGAAGATGGATAGATAGATAAGGTAGGTGGGTAGACGTGTGGATACATGAGTGGATGAGTAGATAAGTTGGTCTTAAGTTTGCTGCAAGCATTAAGGCAGTGTTGCATGCAGAGCATCTAGGATCTTCAGGCAGGGTGGAGGGCCATATAGGAATCCTGAACATGAAGAAGGGAGGGAAGAAAGGGGCCAATCTGGGAGAGGTACAGGTTTTTAATTCCCTTATTCACCACCAGGAGGAGGGTGTCCGTGTGTCTGTACTGCTGTTTAAGGAAGTGGAATTGGCCTTGGGCATCAACAGTGGCTATAGCAAGAGGATGCTGATGCTGTTGCACCCCAATATAAAGGTGACTCTCTGCCTCAGAGACCCCTCCCACAGAAGAGTCCTCCTCACCACACTTCCCCATCCCCTCTAAGCCCCCTTCCTGGAGGTCTCATCCTTCCATCTTTCCCTCTCCATCTTCTCTTACCTAAATCCACCCTCACGAACTCCTTCCTCTACACATGCTCCAGGTGATGCGTCACCCAGACCAAGTGACACTGTGGGCTCATCATGAGAAACTTCTGGTAGTAGACCAAGTGGTGGCCTTCTTGGGGGGTCTGGACCTTGCCTATGGCCGCTGGGATGATCTACACTATCGACTCACTGACCTTGGAGACTCCTCTGAATCAACCACCCTACAGGTAATTCTCCCATGGCCTTCCTGAGATTCCCCCCAAACTCAGATAGTCGAAATCCACATGCCTTCCCAGCTCTACCCTTCCCCCTCCAGTCATTCCAAGCATTGCCCACCCTCAATCTTTCTAGAATCCCAAGAACCCACTTTGAAAAGACTATAACCCAGTCTCTTCCCCATTTTCACTAACTAAAAGTGCAGCTGAAGGGGAGGGATGAAGGATCAAACTCTCTTTCATTCCTACTGTCTCTGTCTCTCTCAGCCTATTTCAGTGTTCCTGTCTTCTCTTTGGCCTGGCTCTGTATGGCCCCATGACCTCGCCTTGCCCCATGTTGCCCCTACAGCCTCCCACCCCATGCCCAGACTCTGCAACCACCCCAGACCTCTCTCACAACCAATTCTTCTGGCTGGGCAAGGACTACAGCAATCTTATCACCAAGGACTGGGTGCAGCTGGACCGGCCTTTTGAAGGTGAGGCTCCCTTCCTGCAAGGCCTCCAAGAGCTTGGAGCAGGGGCAGAAATTGAGGCTGGGACTGAGAACTGGTTGACATGGTTAAAGATAATGTAGCCTTCCATCTGGTAGCCTCCTCCTCCTCCTCCTCCTGCCCCAGGTATCCCCAAGAGACCAGCCTGACCTCTCCCCTGACTCGCCTGGGGCTCCCAGATTTCATTGACAGGGAGACCACACCACGGATGCCATGGCGGGACGTTGGAGTGGTCATCCATGGCTCAGCTGCCCGAGACCTCGCCCGGCACTTCATCCAGCGCTGGAACTTCACCAAGGTACTCACTCCTCCAGGGCATCTGGAAGTAGGGAGGGAGAGCCAGGCTTAGCTGCCCACCTCCTGCTAACTCTGCCATCCCTCTACCTCAGACCACCAAGGCCAAGTACAAGATACCCGTGTACCCCTACCTGTTGCCTAAGTCCACCAGCACCGCACACCAGCTCCCCTTCACACTCCCTGGGGGACAGTGCACCACTGTGCAGGTGAGGCTCCTGACTTCAGCCAGATCACTCTTCCCTTTACCCTTAGTCCAGTGCCCCACCCATGTTCCCTGTTGTGAGAGCTCTCAAGATTCCACCTCCTCTGGGATTAGAAACCACATTATTTTCACTGTGCCACTAGGTCTTGCGGTCTGTGGACCGCTGGTCAGCAGGAACTTTGGAGAACTCTATCCTCAATGCCTACCTGCACACCATCAGGGAGAGCCAGCACTTCCTCTACATTGAGGTCTGATGGGGGTGAGGGTGGAGAAAGATGATGGAAGGGATGTCCCAGGGGAGAGGCTGAGAGTGCAAGTGTGATCGTGGAGGGCTGGTGTAGGTGGGCCTGGACTAGATGGGGAAGTGCAAGACCAAGGCCTGGGCTAGGGACTGGGGGGCGGGGAGTGAGGACAGGGCTTGGGGCCAGGCTGCTGATGTCTTTCTCTGATCCCTGTCCCAGAATCAGTTCTTCATTAGCTGCTCAGATGGGCGTACGGTTCTGAACAAGGTGGGCGATGAGATTGTGGACAGAATCCTGAAGGCCCACAAGTAAGGTGGACTCAGGATGGTGGGGACAGTGGGCATGGTTTAAGCCCAGCCAGAGCGGGTAGGGTTCACTTAAAGGACGGTCACACCTCTGATTCTGCCCCTTTCCCCAGGCAGGGACAGTGTTTCAGAGTATACGTGCTTTTGCCCTTGCTCCCTGGCTTCGAGGGTGACATCTCCACAGGTGGAGGTAACTCCATCCAGGCCATTCTGCACTTCACTTACAGGTGACCACAGCCAGGCTCTGCGTCTCATTCTGCCCATGCCCCCTCCTAACTCTGTCTTGACTCCTTCCTGCTAGACCTTTGAGGTCCACCTCTCTTGAAACCTCCCTTCCCCTGCCCAGCCTCCACCTCCCTCACCTTTTTTTTTTTCCTCTCAGGACCCTGTGTCGTGGGGAGTATTCAATCCTGCATCGCCTCAAAGCAGCCAGTGAGTGCTGGGGACTGGGTCAAGCCCCCACCAGACCTCTGGGGAGAGGGACCTTAGGGAGCTGGAGGTCTGGGAGTAAGGAAAGGAGGCTGTCATTCTATTTTTTTTATGGTACTGGGGAGATTGAATCCAAGGGTATTCTACCACTGAAGTATTCCCTAGCTCTTTTTGCTTAATTTCATTCATTTATTCAGTCATTTATTTTGAGGTACCAAGGATTGAACTCAGGGGCACTTGACTACTGAACCACATTCCCAGTCCCATTTCGTATTTTACTATTTAGAGACAGGGTCTTACTGAGTTGCTTAGTGCCTCAGTGTTGCTGAGGCCGGCTTTGAACTCACAGTCTTCCTGTCTCAGCCACCAGAGCCATTAGGATTTCAGGCGTGTGCCACTGCTCCCAGTTTCATTTTATTTTTGAAACAGGGTCTTACTAAGTTGCCCAGGCTGGCCTTTTGTCTCAGCCCCTCGAGGTGCTGGGATTACAGGCCTTTGCCACTGCATGGGGCTTGTCATTCTTCTGTGCTTCTGGGGCTACCCAGACCCCAGGTGGCCTTTCACTGCCAAGAGAAGTGTACAGATTAGACTCTAGGCAGGGCTTCTGAAATGAGGAGAGAGGTGGGACAGGGCCCCATCTGCACATAGAGGGTACTTCTCACCTCACTCCCCATCCTCTCTTATGTACAGTGGGGACAGCGTGGCGGGACTACATGTCCATCTGTGGGCTCCGCACACACGGAGAGCTGGGTGGGCACCCAGTCTCAGAACTCATCTATATCCACAGCAAGCTGCTCATTGCAGATGACCGGACAGTCATCATTGGTCAGTTTTGGATCTGGGCCCCTAGCATCAATAGGAGGGTGGAGAGAGGCGGAGGGGTGACAAGGGATGACAGAGACTACAGTTGAGGGTCAAGGGAGGTTTTGCCCACAGGCCAGTTTTCTGATAAAGGTGATGGGATATTTGAGGATGCCCCTGGGCCAAGGCAGATGCAGCATGTCCTGCACCTACCACAGGTTCTGCGAACATCAATGACCGGAGCTTGCTGGGGAAGAGAGACAGCGAACTGGCGGTGCTGATTGAGGACACAGAGATGGAGCCATCCCTGATGGATGGGGCAGAATATCAGGCGGGCAGGTTTGCCTTGAGCTTGCGGAAGCACTGCTTCAGGTAGAGCTGGGTGGGGTGCTGCAAGAAGGAGGGGGTGGGGGAGGGGGACTTGCCTTTTGAGTCAGATGTGAGAACTGCCTAGAGCTAGTGTTCAGTTTCCCAGGAGGCAGGCTAATCCAGTTTAGGCTATCAGCAAAGTAGGAACACCAAAAAAAGAAAAAAAAATTTAAAAATAGAGACAAATCAATGTTCTGTTGGACTCATTTACTTGTTTTACAGTTTAATAGTGCCATCTAGTTTGAAGTACCAGGGTAGAGATACTATAACTTTTCTGATATTCATGTTCTCTAAAGATCATAATTTGGCTGCGGTTGTGGCTCAGTGGTAGAGCTTTTGCACTGGGTTTGATTCTCAGCAACACCTATAAATAAATAAATAAATAGAATAAAGGTCCATTGACAACTAAAAAAAAGAAAAAAAAATCTTAATTTGGCCCCATCCGGATCTTTTCTTCCATAGTGTGATTCTCGGGGCAAATGCCCGGCCAGACCTGGATCTTCGAGACCCTATCTGTGATGACTTCTTCCAGTTGTGGCAAGAGACAGCAGAGAACAATGCCAATATCTATGAGCAGGTGGGAGCTGAGGGGGGGCTGGCCTTGGGGATTTGATGAATTATCTTGCTGAAGGTGGGGTGGAGAGAAACAGTCATTCTCAGAAAGGAGATGGGGGGGAGGGGGACTTGCCTTTTGAGTAGGGAGCATTTACTATTAGGGGATTTAGTGGCCCCAGACAACATGGGGGATATTGAGAAGTGGTAAGGGTAGTCAAGAGTCTAGGCCAGTTAGCTTAGACTCTTGTGCAAGCGTCTTCAAGTGTAACTGGCTTCCATGCTTTCCTGTCCCCAGATCTTCCGCTGTCTGCCGTCTAATGCCACCCGTTCCCTGCGGACTCTCCGGGAATATGTGACCGTGGAACCTCTGGCCACAGTCAGTCCTTCCTTGGCCAGGTCTGAGCTCAACTTGGTCCAAGGCCACCTGGTTCACTTCCCTCTCAAGTTCTTGGAGGATGAGTCTTTGCTGCCCCCGCTAGGGAGCAAGGAGGGGATGATACCCCTAGAAGTGTGGACATAGCTGAGGCTTCAGACAGGGAGAGGTCACCAGCTGTGGAACTCTACCATGTTTGGCTCTCTGTCCCTAAACCCTGAGGACTGATGGTGGGTGCCCTTTGAGATCTGAGGAAGCAGGCATCCCTGGAGGGGACTAGAGAAATCATAGAGAACCTTTACTTGAAAAGTAGTCAAAGAGGCACTTCCAAACCTGGTCTGGGGAGGCAGAAGAGGGTCCCTTTGGGGTTCATCCTCCTTGCCTCGGCGTTGAAACCACTGCTCCAGAGAAGCATAATTCCTACCAGACACCTGAAGTCAAGCTTCTTATTCTAGGAGGAGGGGACTCTACCCTGGGCATTCCCCATCTCTCCTTCTTTTGCCCTTGGATTCCCTCCCTACCCCAGGGTCTCTCTCAGCCCATTGCTGCCAAGATGGAGGGAAGGATAGAACCACTTCTGGCTGCAGCCCCCACTGGGGTCAGGGAGGAAGGCACACTAACTCCCTCCACCAGCCTGCTGACAGACACTAACTTCGTAACAGTTCAATAAGCATTTCATAAATAAAAGTTTAGAAAAGGCATATGCCTCTTTATTGAAGGAGTTTAGTGCTCGTCTCAGGCACCCCCTTCCTGCCAACAAAGGACACCAGTCTCCTACACCTTCTCTCCCATCCCCACTCCTTTCTTCTTCCTGTCTGCATGCATCTCCGTGCTTCTGTCTGTAGCTTCAGAGCACAGTGCTGCTGCTTCAGTAGAAGGAAGGGCAAAGCAAAACCAAGACACGGAGAACCCTGGAGCTTATACTGCAGCTGCCAATGACAGGGATGCCCTGAGAAGGGCCTGACAGGCTGCCTCTTATTCAAGTGGCAGTACCCAGAGGAGCTTAGTGAAACCCCTTTGGAATGGTTAAGAAGTACATGCTTGAGTCTAGGGGTACAGCTCAGGGGTAGAACTCATGTTTAGCATGCATAAGACCCTGGGTTCAAAGCCCAACACACACACACACACACACACACACACACACACTCAGTATAGGCTTGGCCAGGTGCAGTGGCTCACACCTGTAGTCTGAATAACTCAGGAAGCTAAAGCAAAAGGATTGCAAGCTTGAGAATGATTCAGCAAGACCCTTTCTCAAAAAATAAAAAGGGCTGGGAATGTAGCTCTGATGGAGTGCTCCTGGGTTTAATCCCCAGTACCAAACAGAGGCAGGGCTGAAAGATCAAGGTCAGGGAAAACTGGATTTATCACTTAGAAGTTATCAAGATACATTAATTCTCTGGGCATCAGTGGTCTGGACAGGAAAATGGGAATAATACTTATATGGCCAGCTTGCTATAAAGACTCAGTCGCTGATCTGAATATTAACTGAGCTCCTGCTATCTGCCAGCCACTGTTCTAGACTCATAGAATTAAGTGCAGCAAAGTCCTCACCCTTAAGGCAGGTTGCAGTGCTTCATTGTCCAACATAGTACCTACTAGCTACATGTGGTATTTCAATTTAAATGAATTAAAACGAGAGAGGGTGGGGGATGTGGCTCAGAGGTAGAGCTCTTGTCTGGCATGCTTAGGACCTTGGTTCGAACCTCAACACCACAAATGAAGAAAGAGAGAGAAGCAAAAAAGAATTCAGTGCTTCACACTTGCCACATTTCAAGTGTTTAATAGCCACTTATTGCTAACAGCCCCCATACTATTCAGTGCAGATATACACCATTTCTAGCACTGCACAAAGTTCTATTGGAAGGAATGCCCAAGAGGAAAGACTAAAACGCATAGTGGAGGAAAGAAGATAACACCAAACAGGATGGCTACCTCCCAGGAGGGGTACACAAACAACTTCAATTCAATTGAAGATAAACTCAATTTATCTTTTATACTGAGTAGTGAATACGTAGTTTATGAAACACACTTTATGGACTATACATAAATGTATATACACACACAGTGTGTGTGTGTGTAAATAAATAAATAAATATATATATATATATATACACACACACACACACATACACACATGTGTAATGGGTTTTATACATTTTTTAAAAAATTTTACTAACGTATTTATTTATTTTTTCTTGGACTGTGGATTGAACCCAGGGTTGCTCTATCACTGAGCTACATCCCCAGTCCTTTTTATTTTTTTTTATTTTTGAGACAGGGTCTTGCTAAATTGCCCAGGCTAGACTTGAATTTGTGAACCTCCTGCCTCAACTTTCTGAGTTGCTGGGATTACAGGTGTGGGCTACCATGCCTATTAGATTATATATACACATATATTCATAACTTTTCTTTAAAATGACTTTTTTAATATGTCTGAAATATTTCAAAGTTAGAAAAAAGTTGATCACTGGGCCTAGTTTATGCCCTTCCATTCCACCAGTCTCAATCACCAGTATCACAATTGGCCACAAAAGCAGAAAGAAACCAAGCAGAGTAAAGCAAGTTTAATGAAGTTTCCTGCAAGATGGGGATTCAGGGGGGTGATGATGGGAAGAGGACATAAAGTGCCCGCCCCATCCTTTCTTTTTTTTTTTTTAATTAATTTTTTTTTTTTCAGTATTGGGGATTGAACCCAGGGCCTTGTGTATTTTTTTTAATATTTATTTTTTAGTTCTCAGCAGACACAACATCTTTGTATGTGGTGCTGGGGATCGAACCCGGGCCGCACGCATGCCAGGCGAGCGCGCTTGAGCCACATCCCCAGCCCCCCCATCCTTTCCTTTGAGTTCAGGTTTCTGGTTCTCTAAAGAAGCCACTGTCAGTGCCTGGATTCAATCCCCAGACCAAAAAAGTCACTTCTGTGCAAGAAATCCCCCTCCCACACAGAGCAATCTCTGGGTACTAATTGGCATTCTATTAATTAGCCTCATTGTTGGTACTAAGTACTTCTTTCCTAAGAAGAGAGTACCTCATAACTGTGGAGTAGGGTGGAGGCAGTAGTTGCCCCAGGCAGGGCCAGGGGCTAAATGGGCCTCTACTTAACATTGGCAACTTGACTTTCCTTCCTGAGTCCTCAAATCTTGATTGGAAGCCCTCTAGCAAGTGCCGAGTGTTTAGTAAGGGAACAGTAGGAGAGGGCTTAGAATAAAAATAGTTATATTTGGGAGGTATCAGGGATTGAACCCAGGGGTGCTTAACCACCAAGCCACACACCCCCAGCCCTATTTGTTTTTTTGAAACTAGCTCTAAGTTGCTTAGGGCTTGGAAAAGTTGCTGAAGCTGGCTTAGGGGTTGAGGGTGTAGGTCAGTTGCAGAGCACCTGCTTGAAATGCCCGACATCCTGGGTTCAATCCCCAGCACCGAACCAAACAAAGTCTGTAGGCCCAGCATGGAGGGAAAGGTTGGTGGTAGACAACTAGGCCAATACAACATTCATTATTCCTCCAAGGGTTCTATAATTAATCTTTTATTGTATGTTTGGGTCTGGGGATAGAAGCCATGCTAAACAGTTGTTCTACCCCTAGTTTTTGTTTGTTTCTTTTTGTGGTGCTGGGGTTGAACCCAGGGCCTTATGCATACAAGGCAAGTACTCTACCAAGTGAGTTACATCCCCAGCCACCCCAGCTGGTCTTATTTTTATTTTATTATTATTTTTAAAAAATATTTTTTAGTTGTAGGTGGACATAAAAATCTTTATTTTATATGGTGCTGAGGATCGAACCCAGCACCCCACACATGCTAGGCGAGCACTTTACCAATGAACCACATCCCAGCCCCTTATTATTTTTAAAGAGGTACTGCTTTCATTTATTTTTCCTTAAGAATTTAACCTTTATTTATTTGTTTTTGTGTGGTGCTGAGGCTCAAACCTAGTGCCTCACTCATGCTAGGCAAGTGCTCTACCACTGAGCTACAATCCCAGCCTCTATTTATTTACTTATGAGATGTAGTTGGACACAATACCTTATTTTATTTATTTTTATGTGGTGCTGAGGATCGAACCCAGGGACTCGCACTTGCTAGGCAAGCGCTCTACCATAAACCCAGCCCATCTTATTTTATTTTTGATGATGGGAATCTAACCCCAGGCCTCATGCATGGCAGGCAAACGCTTTACTACTAAGCTATATCTCTAGCCCCTGTTGTATGTTTTGTATTTTAAATTTTCTTGATGCCTGGTCCAGGTCTCCCTCTACCATTAGTGTATCTTTTTGTTTTTATCATAGACAACTTAAAAATATACAAAAGTAGGGAATAGGATAAGGAATCTTCACAGATTCATGTTTATCCATGGATTCCTACTCTAGCTTCAATAATTATCATCTTAGAACCAGGTGTGGTAGCCCAGGCCTCTAATCCCAGCAATTACTCTGAGGCAGAAGTATCGCAAGTTGGAGGTCAGTGTCAGCAAGTTAGGGAGGCCCTTAGCAATTTAGCAAAACCCCATCTCAAAATACAAAATAGTCAGGGGACGTAGCTCAGTGGTAAAGTGCCCCTGGGTTCAATTCCCAGTAAGAACAACAACAAAAAAGTAATTATCAGTTTAGGGCCAAATTTGTTCTTTGTCCTGTTTACACCCAGATTTCTTGCCTCTTGAGGATTGGGTGGCCATTTATTCCACCCCTGTGACTTTGATTGATTGATTCATTCATTTAATATCTATTAAATACTTTATGAGTCAGTCACTAGTAAATTTATTGAGGGTCTAGTATATGCTGAGTGCTTTACATTTATAATTGTATTTTATCCTAACGTCTATTATTATCTCTGTTTTACAGATGATTAGAATTGAGCCTCAGAGAGGTAGTGATTTGCCTAAAGTGCTAACTTCAAATTCTATGCATTTTGTTGGGTGTGGTAGAGCGACCCTGAAATCTCAGCTACTTGTGAGGCTGAGGCAGGAAGATATAGCAAATGCCAGGTCAGCCTGGGCAACTTAGATCTTAGCTCAAAATAAAAAAATAAAAAAGGGACTAAGTGTGCTATCAGTGATGAAGCATTCCTGGATTCAATCCCTAATAGGGGTGGGGGTGGGGGAAGGGTGGGAGTGGAGAAATCTATACTTTTTCTTAATATCCAATGATCTTTCTTTCTTTTGTCAATGGACTTTTATTTAACTTATATGCAGTACTGAGAATGGAACCCAGTGCCTCTCATATGCTAGGCAAGCACTTTACCTCTGAGCTACAACCCCAGCCCTATCCAGTGGTCTTGACCTTGAACTATTATAGTGCCTCTCTGGACAACAGAGGCCTTCATTCAACTTAAGTGTTCATTTGCTCTAGCAGGTGCCAAGCCCTGTGCACCCAAGACTGATATTATTCTTACCTTTAAGGAGAGTCAACAGACACCTGCAACTCAAAAGTCTTAAATTTAAAGGGCTTAAGCCAGGTAGCTAAAACAGAAGAGCCAAAATCAGAGTGGGTCAAGAGAGCCTTCAAGAGAGGTGATTTAAAGATGTGCTAAGGGTCCAGAAAAGAGGTCGTTCAACTCTTTTCCAAGGACCTTTCTTTCAAATTTTCCTAAGATTTTTTTTTTTTCATTCTGGTTTTGGGGATTGAACCCTGGGGAATTCTGCCACTGTGCTACATACCCAGCCCTTTTTATTTTGAGACAGGGTTTCACTAAATTGCTGAGGCTGGCCTCGAACTTGTGATCCTCCTGTCTCAGTCTCTCAAGTAGCTGGGATATAGCCCTGTACTACCGTCAGATTCCTAAGTGATGTTTATATTAAGGTTGCTGGGGTCCTTCAGAGATTGTATTAGTGTTGGAAGAAATCTTGAGACCCAAAGACTTCCCCCTGAACTTTGCAATGAAAGAAAAGCCCAGGGAAGCAAAGCGATTTTCTCAAGGTCACAGAGCAAATTAGTCAGTGGGGGCAGAATGTGACTCCCCGGGGGGGGGGGGGGGGGGGGGGGTGCTATGCCAACCTGGTTAGATCTCAGGTGACCTGAGCAAGTTTTAAGGGATTAGACAGTTTCTTCCTCTTCCCCTTTTGCCACTGGCGATTCCAATGATCAAACAGTTCCTCTGTGCAGAACACTTTATGAGAGGTGCAGAGACAAAGGTCTGCAGTGGGATTCCCTATGCTCAGATCTGAGATTCCCCTCTTCAATGCTCTTCACTCTAGTTGGGGTAGAGAGTAAAGGGCATTCCCGAGGCAGCCAATGCCCGCTCCACCCCCCAACTCCCACGTGGTTTCTCCAGCCAAATTCTCACGGAGAGGCCCCTCCCTCAGCGGCTCCACAGTTGCCATGGCAATTGGGTGGGTGGACAGCCCGTCCTATCTAGAGGCCACCCAGCCCTCGCGTGGGGAGTTACCATAACAACTCCCCAAAGTAATAGAGGGGGTTGGGTCCCGCCTCCCTTCCCCCGCAAATAGAGAGGTGGGTGGCTTGATTGGCAGCTGGGCACGCGAAAGGAGGGAAAGGAAAGGAAAGGCGTCAAAGGAGATCTAGGAAGGAAACGGGAGAGAGAAAGGGCAAAAATAGGAAAAGGGAAGAAAAACCGTGTGCGCAGGCGCACCCGTTGGTGGGCGCGCTCTGCGGCCGCCCAGGCCGCCGCCCACTTCTTTCAAGCCAGGCTCGCGCGGTCGCTTAGTCCTGGTGCGCGCCTTTCGTCTGCTCGGCTGCGCCTGCGCGCAGGTGCCGGCGCCTAGGGGGAGGGGGAACCCGGCGCGCTCGCGTCACGTTCCCTCTTCCACCCTCCCGGGGCACCGCCGCTCCGCGCCTGCGCAAGAGAGTCGGGAGGCTCAGGTTGCAGACTCCGGGGTGATTGCTCCTGTCAGTCGGTGGGTCGGTCCTCCCGCCGGCCCTCCCCCCTCCGCGTTCTCCGGGGGAGGCGCGGTGGAGTCCGCCCCCAGGGTCCCCCGATGGGGGAGAAGCGGCGACGGCGGCAGTGGAATAACCGAGCCGGAGTGTGAGCGGCCCCGGGGCCCCGTTCCCGGCGGAGGCCATGGGCGACCCAGCCCCCGCCCGCAGCCTGGACGACATCGACCTGTCCGCCCTGCGGGTGAGCGCGCCGTCCCCCAGCCTCGCCCTGGTTACTGACCTCGCCGCAAGGGAGGGAGCCTGGTGGCTGCACGCTTCACGTGCTTTCCTGGCGTCCCCCTCCACCAGCCCGGTTCCTCTCTGCGACCCCTGCCCCTTTCCCGGGCTACAGCCGCTGTTGGGCCCCCGCCCTCTGCTCTCCTTCTCGCTTCACTCGCTGCAGATTCTGGGAGCCAGTTTGGTCCCCACCCTGTGGTGCCCCGCCCCCACACCTCCCTGCCACCCCTACCCTCTGGGATTCAGTACCCCCTTCTTCCTAGGTATTCGAGAGTCACCAGGCCCCTTTCATCACCTGCATAGTCTTTATTATGGCCCCTCACCTCCTCTTGGCCCTCTTTACACCCTTGCTGTTACTTATCTCTTTCCTCCCCCTTCTCTTCCTCGGTTCTCCAATTTTGACTTTGCAACTGCCTTGACAGCCTCCCCCTCATCCCTCTTTCTCTTCCTCGCCCACCCCTGAATTGCAACTCTTCCCTGGTCGGTCTGCGTTTCAGCCTCCCCACTGCACCCCACACCTCCTACGGTCTCTCCAGCCCCACGTTCAGTTTTCCCTGTCCCTTCTCTCGGGTTTCAAGTGCAGCAGTCCAGATCCAGGCATTTCCGGTCTCGGGGTCCCTGATATTACATTACCAACTCTGCAGCAGTGTGGGGCCAGGAGGATAGACAAGTGCACTGGGGGAGGAGGGGAAGCATTTATTCCCTTCAGAAACTCTAGCACGGGCTAGGAAAGGATGTTTGCATATATGTACACACAGAAAACACATGCTGCATGTGATCAGTCTGGAAGTCTGGAAAAGCAGTGGGGGTAGAGGTAATGATGATCTCTCAAGGGAGGGGCTAATTAGGAAAGAGGTTTAGAGGAAACAACTGCAGCAGGAATTTCTTCAGAATACCTTTCTATTGTCCCCGCGTGGGGAATTTACTTATTCTCCTTTAGAAGCTTTTAGCAGCATTTATATTTTTCTTCAGCTGGAAGCTTTGGCTTAAGGGCAATGTAGTGATTTCAAGGTGAATACTTAAGGCTGTCACCCAGGTGGTGTTTGATCTAGTGCCCTTCCAACTTTCTCAACAGGTCAAGGTGCAAGGAGAGCAAGGTTTTGCTTCTGTAGGTGAGCTTCTCAGGAGGTCCCTATTCACATTTGTCTTCTGGCTTTTGAGTTAGCTAGGAACATGGCCAGGAATGGGAAAAGGCGGTCAGCCACACAGGTGCCCCGGATATGACTGGAGGGAAGAGAGGAATTGAAGAGAGCAGAGTCATGTTGTTAATTGGGTTTCTCTAGGTGACACAGTTTTTTCTTGGCCATTCAGGTCATAATTTATTTGATGCAGTGTTGGGCTATAAAACCTGACTTGCTGGAGATAAGATGATAAGTTGCTGGGAAGAGAGACCAAGCATTGAATTTCTCTCTCTCTCTCTCTCTCTCTCTGTGTGTGTGTGTGTGTGTGTGTGTGTGTGTGTGTGTGTTTGGGAGAGGGTCTGAAGACTTTAGGAGATCAGCTCAGCCAGGGTTTAAACTGTGGTACTCCAGTCAGTTGGAATATAAGATGCAAATCCAGGCTGTGTAAATGTCCCTTAGTGTGGTCCACGCTGGGATGAACCCCACCTTCCTGGCTCACCTTGGTTGTTGATTAACTCTGGCTACAGGTTCTGTGGCTCTGATAACTAAAATATAGTTACAAAATGGGTGGGTCCAAACCATGACCTTTGATTTGAACTTTGTGGGACTCTACTTGGGCTTCTCTTTCCTCTTAGCCTCCCTGGTAGATGGGCCTGGACTCTCAACCTGGGATTTCCAGCAATTTTGTAAATACTCTCTGACCTTGGATGTGGTATTTCCCTTCGGGACTTCCCTGCTTGAAGCAATGTTAATCTCCTTCCTTAATAACCCCCTGCCTTATTCTCCTCTCCTTTCCCTCAAGAGAGCTGGGTGTCTGCTCTTTGTGCTTGTCTGTCTTGTCTTATGCTTCTGAAGAAACCTTCCGTGTCCCTCTCTACCAGCTCAGCACTCCAGGGTTTGAAGAAGAACTGTGCTTTCTTTGAAATAGGACTGGAGAGGGCCTGTGTTTTCCTTGCTGCTTATCTTTTCTCAATGTCTGTCCCCTCCAGTTCACCTCAGAGCTGCCTTGGCTCTGTCGAGCAGCTGGCTCAGTCATCACCTGTTCTGTTTCTGCTTTCAAGAGAGAAATGGTAATCTGGAGAATTGGCAGTAAAGGATGTCTCCCTTGACTTACATGACTATGTATTGGGGGTTGGAGTCGGGGTGGCAGAGGACCATGTTCAGCATTCGGTAGCTGGCCTTAAAGAACTTAAGGTGTCTTTCTTCTTGTTTCAAGATAAGCCTTGCTGTTCAGCTGGTGATGAGAGTTAATAGTCTGATAGTAGGAAGACTGAATTGCATTAATCTCTTAGCCATGTGTGAAGTGAAGTTGCCAGGTGCATCTGCTACTTTGCAATTATAGCCACACTGACTTCCTTTTTTTTTTTTTTTTGATACCAGGGATTGAACCCAGAGGCAATTTACCAGTGAGCCACATCCCCAGCCCTTTATAATTTTTATTTTGAGACAAGGTCTCGCTAAGTTGCTTAGAGCCTCATAAAATTGCTTATGCTGGCCTCGAACTTGAGATCCTTCTGCCCTAACCTTCCAGGTCTCTGAGAATACAGGCATGTGCCACCATACCTGGCTACACTGACATCTCTGGGGCTCTTTTTCTCCACTAACATGGTAGCACAGTATAGAGAAGAGATACATGGAGCCTGGAATTGCATTCCTGTGTTCAAGTCCTGGCCTCTTCATTTCCTGTATAACCTGGACCTCGGATCCACTTTACTCTTACTCCCCTTACTGCAGATTCTGCAAAGAATTTTACCTCTGAGCTCCTTTTTTCTTCTATGTGTTGAGAATGGTGATTGTATTGAACTTAGTGTTGTCGGGGATTAAGTGAAATGCTGCATGTTAAATTCTTGTCCACTTCCTGGCACACGTATGTGGTAGTCCTTATTACTGCTAACAATCAGAGAAGTCTTCCAGGACAACTTTGTCTAAAATAGCACTCCCTTCCCTGCTTTATTTTTATACAAAATTTTACATAGCATTTCCTTAGTCTGCTTTATCTTTCTTCGTAGTATTTATCACCAGCTGACATAGATTTATTTCTGTCAACCATGACTGAAATGCAAATTCAAGCCAGTGAATCAGCCTGTTGGCAGAGTGCCTGCTTAGTATGTGCAAAGTCCTGGGTTTGATTCCCAGCATCACAAAAATAAAATGAAATGTAGGTTCTGTGAAAGCTAGGATTTTGAGTGCTGTGTTCATTTTTGTATCCCAGCATCTAGAACAGTGTTTTGCACACAGTAGAGCACAGATGCTTGTTGAATTTGTGTGTATTCTAACAATCGAAAGCTCTTAGCACAGTGCTTACTTAGAGAAAGTGTTCAGTAGAGGTTGTTATGCTTCCTCTTCCCCTCATTTATGTATACACATCATTGAGATTGTATCCTTTCTGAGATGCTTTTGGAATCAGACCTGGCCTTGTAATAAACAGAATTCTGGATGCCTCCATCTGAGCAATGGTCCTTGAAATACAATTAGGATGATCCAAGAGAAAATTTGTGTGTCTTGTTTCAAACCTTCTTTCTCTGTGTCCAAGCTCGGTTAGATTCCAGAAGAACCTTCTTGCTTGGAACTCTGAGCTTCTCACAAAGGATGAAGTATGAGCGGAGGAAGTGAATGGGACAGCGACAGAAAGACCCCAGGCTGACCGCTTTCCTTTTGCATCACTGCTTCTGTTTGACCCACTTCATAAATCAAACAGCTTCTCTTTACTGTCCAGCCAGTTAGAAGTTTTAGACTGCAGTGTCCTTGAAACTGTGAAGCTGGGCTCAGTGTTGCTAAATTGAAATAATGTAGAGCACATTCAAGAAGGACTTGTTGTGAGGTGGTAGTTGCTGACAGAGATGTTCTTTTTCAAATGATTTTTTTGTTGTTGTGGCTGTTTTCTGGAAAAGTCTCTTCCCCTTCCTTCTCTTCTCATATGGCTGTGGAGCCAGCACCACTTGGAAAGCTGGCAATTCTGGGCATGTATTTCTAGGCTGCTGCACAGGGTGGGACTGCTGCTGTGTTCTGATGTGCTAGCTGTCCAAACAGATGCCTTGGACAGGGGAATGGGAAGGCTGACCTCTTACAGCAGAGTAAGGTTATTTCCTGACTTTTTTCCTAGAAAAACTGCATATGGGGGGGGGGCATTTAGGGAGCTTGTGGCATTTGGAATGAAATGAAATGATGCTTTGGCCAAACATTGGAAGGAAGAGTACAGAGAACTTTGCTGGTATTAGATATTCAGCCATTCTCCAGACCCATTATACTGTGAGATAGGACAGATTACCATAGCCTTTAGCAATACATACAGAGGAGGTTCTTTGGGAAAGTGAGGTTTTGACAGCTAGGATAACAATAAGAGGATGAGCAAGAGAACTGACTTCTTCACCCCTTTACTCTTGCCCCAAGAGTTCAGTCAACATGCTGCTGCATAGGACCCTGATGTCACGTCTTGCCTCCATTTCCTTCCCATTGTGAACTGTGTGCCTGTGACATAGATGGGCCATGAAGAACATCTTCTTGTCACATAAGGGACAAGAAGGCAGAAAATGTGCTACTACTGTCAACAAATTTATGTTCTAGTATAGGTCTGTAAATAAGGAATGTGGTAACCTCGTAACCCAGCAATAAATAACAGTGCCGGGCCTGGAGGGCATCTCCAGAAACCATCTGAGGGTCCGCCTGCTGAACTGTTCTGTCTTTGGGTAAAGTTACATCAGAAGGTTATCAGTACTATCCTTCCCAAGTCACTGAGGATCATCAGTTTAGTGTTGAGAACCAGGTTCTATAACAAGTTGTGAGATTGTACTCAGTTGTTTAATCAGAACTTTGGGAGCATCCAAATGCCTTTGCAAGCTCAGGC